AATCGAATTCACCGCTCTTTTTAGACCGGGCAGCTTACCCACCAGATCCCGTCAGACACCATTGCGAACCCTGCTCGACGGTCACGCCTACTTGTCAGCGCGGACATAGATTTTCAACACATGGCCGACTCCGCCCAGTCTTCAAAGGGTTTGTTGCGAACTTCGAAATTTCATAACTTTTTCAACTTTTTATTTCACATCCACTCTTTGCACAGCGAAGATACTCGTAACCGCGCATTCATGCTCCGGCAATTCAGGCTCCGCCCCTTGGCCACGCCCACTTGCTTTTTGCGGAATTTTGATATTTTTCAAAATTTTTGCATTTTTGGACTGCTCCACGAAGCCCCGCCCACTGTGAGAGGCTCCGCCCACTTTGAAGAAGCCCCGCCCACTTTTCAAAAATGGTGCAGATCGGCAGTATAGAGCCTTGGCTTGCATGCTAGGGTCTCGTCCGTCACTCGGAACAAATTAATCAGGCAAAGTTTGTTCCGAGTGACGGACGAGGCCCTAGCATGCAAGCCAAGGCTCTATACTGCCGATCTGCAGTGGGTGGGCTTCTTCGAAAGTGGGCGGAGCCTCTCACAGTGGGCGGGCTTCGTGGAGCAGTCCAAAAATGCAAAAATTTTGAAAAAATATCAAAATTCCGCAAAAAGCAAGTGGGCGGAGCCTGAATTGCCGGCATGAATGCGCGGTTACGAGTATCTTCGTTGCGCAAAGAGTGGATGTGAAATTAAAAAGTTGAAAAAGTTATGAAATTTCGAAGTTCGCAACAAACCCTTTAAAGAATGGGCGGAGTCGGCCATGTGTTGAAAATCTATGTCCGCGCTGACAAGTAGGCGTGACCGTCGAGGCAGGGTTCGCAGTGGTGTCTGGCGTGATCTGGTGGGTGAACTGCCCGGTCTAAAAAGAGTGGTGAATTTGGTTTGAAAAGTGGTGAATTTGCTTTGAAAAGTGGTGAATTTGCTTTGAAAAGTGGTGAATTTGGTTTGAAAAGTGGTGAATTTCAAGTGAAAATGGTATATTTGTCTTTTTCTGCTACCACCGAAGTAGCATACTTTATATCTTTCTGTTTAGGGCTCTGAAATCCAAGATAGTCCTCGTGGAGCGCCAAGTGTTGCATCTACAAAGAGAGAAGATGTCAATTATCATCACTCACAACCACATGTGGTCCCACAAGGAGGTGAGTGCTTCTTTCTCTAGTTTTCAAAAGTCGGACTATGTGTTCATGGTTCAGAAAAGTGGCCCAGCTGTTGCTGAACGAAAAGGGGCACATGGCGAACATGGACCCGTGGACTGCGGTTTTCAAATAACGAAAGGTCACGAATAGCCCGCGTCTGGCCCTCTTCACCAGGAGGGCATATGTTGTCGTGTGCGAAGTCTCTATTCCTCTGGATTTAAACAAAAATAGGGGGAGAGGTGCTACCGTGGCCAGCAGTAATGTGAGGAGCCGGGAAACTGACTGCCTTCACTGTTTTTAAGAGGGCACTAACGGCTAACGAAATTCAGGATGAGTGCACTCAAGCGCCTTTACGTCTTTTCCTCTTGCCAGTGCTCAGATTCATGGGCTGCTTTCCTTATTCGAGACTGTTGTCTGTGCCTCAACATATTCGATTCGCGGCAAAAAAACGCATTGATAGCGAATAATGTGCGCGGCATTCTCATTAGGACCCAATCCATTCGACGTAGCAATGATGCGGCGCATCAACTCCTTCTCTCTACATCCGCGTCTCTCAAGTCGACTGGCTCTCTCTGTGCCTGGGTCTGTCTGGCTAGGAAGCAATCGGGCGATACGCGTGATCCCGTAGCTGGGACGTAATGCTTCACACCCGCGTTTAATCCAGGGTACGGCAGCGTACACTATCGCACGCCCAGACCGCTGACCCAAAGTCTAAACGCATTGTCAGATGACGAAAATAATTGGATGTGAAGGTAAAGGTGAATTTGTATGGTGATATTTTTCTTTCTAGGTATTCCTATTCAAGGACAAGTACTCGTTGATCCAGCAACCGGACAACACTATATTGTACCCCAGGCAACGTTTTATCCGCCTCCCGTTCAACCAATGTATTTTCAACCGCCGCCAGCTCCGGTCTATTACCCTTATGGACAAGTTCCAACACAGGGTAAGCGTTGATATCACTGTGATGTTTTCTTAGAACTTCTACATATGTCACAGTCCCGCATGTAATTTACAATTATTTGCAACTACTATTCGTTTTCCAATTATTCTGACTCTGAATCTGGCCAGATAACTGACAAAGTGCCAGTGGCTCAAAAATTGATATGCTAACAGGTTCAGGTTACGTGATGCAGTCAGCACCACCCCAAGCCCAATATTCAGTTCCAATAGCTGCTTACCAGCAGCGGCCGTACGGTTTTCGGCCAGGTTATGCACAGAGTACCACATCTAGCGAAGATATTAGCAGAAGAGATGATGAAAGAAGACTTGGTGAGTTTTTTACGTCGAAAGTTCTTTTTCTTTTTTTAGTCTGTTTTCGCTTTTTTCTGTCAGTAAGTACATCGTAGAAGAGTTCACATCGTTGAGTAGGCGGTTTAAAAAACAGTACTGCTGTATCGTTTTATAGCACTTCCCCCACCATATTCAATACAGGATATACTTCAACATTGCCAACTAACAGAAAGGGGCGTGTCAGGCGGGATGAGTTTGGCGCGGTGCCAAACCCGTTCTCCACCAGTTGTTGAAGCGAGCAAGTGACAAGACTGTATCATATCGTTCGTATCACTCGTTTTCTACCAACTGCTTGTCGCATACCCGCTTCAACAACTGGCAAAGAACGGGTTTAGCACCGTGGCACACTCCTGCTGCCTGCCCCTTCATCCGCACGAGCCAGAGTATAATTGCCCAAGAATAGTGGTTCTAATAACCTTCAAGGGAAGGGGGCAGCTGAAGGATTTCTTGTGCAAAGCTGAGATTCCTGCAATGGAGATGAGAAATTTCATCATGTTGCCCTAATAGTATATTGCCAGACTGGAATTATAATAAGTGTGCTAATAACCTTCGGGGAGGGGGGAAGGGAGGGGGCTGCGCTGTTGAGGAAACTTTTCACAGGGCGGTACATAAAGGCAGTTGGCACGATAATTCCATGTACTTTTTGAGAAAGAGCAAAGGTGACCAGTGATGCAAAAAAGTGAAAAAAACGGGGAAATGGTGGGAAACCACGAAATGGGGCTTTATTTCTTCGCTGCACTGCGGCAGTGGACGAGCGAACGGCTGGGGCGGGCGCTGCTTTGGACGAGTCTACCGATTGAACCGTTTACTGCTGGCAAAAAGCCAGCAGCAGTACGTTCTACGTCGCTCTACGTTACACTACATTACACGTAGGCACGGGCGGTCCACAACGGCACGTCCTCGTGCTGTGATGCTATACGTCCAATGGTAGGCGGGCGGGCGAGGTGGGCGTCCGGGTCGGTATGTTGCTGCTCAATAGGGCGCTATAAGGGTACCCTCCTTGGAAAAGGTGCTACGCAGCGCCTGTTCAGGGTCACGGAATTCTGCCATGTCAGTCGTTCTAATCCTACTCGTCTTCAAGAATTTATCGTGCCAACTGTCTTCGAACTTGGACTAACTTAGTCGCTTTTGTATAAGAAGTCCTCTGAATGCCTTAGGTTGTCAACCCTAAGATAATTACCGCATCAAATTTTCCAGAGTCACTAGCCCTTCACGAAAGGGTTTTCCACAATTTTAGATGGTTTTTTGTTGAAGTGTTTTTCCTCGTCCATATCTTGATAGAATTTCATCCCGGGTGCGACTAGTTTCCTCGACCATGAATCACATCTGTTTAACACGAAAATGTGTGTCGTCTGTCATTCGCTACAGATTCCAATGCGATATTCACGTTCAGTTGCTTGACCTAATCCCAGGGAGAACTTCCGAAAAAATCTGCGTTCCGGGACAAATCTCGATAAAATAACTCGGGTCATTATAAGTAAATGGTCCCCTTATTATTCTTCGGCTGAATGAGCCTCATGCCCCTGAACACACTCTGTACAATGAAAAGAGCTAAAAAAAGACAGTTCCTACAACTTGGTGTCAATGTATTTTATACTTTATTATATCTGTTCAGAAGACCCGCCACCTTCTTCGCCCTCGATATCGTTGGCTACCCAGTCGGGATTTTTTCCTACAAGTTTTGTCCCGACTACTACTGCTACGCCATTTCCTCTTCAGTATCGGTGAGTATTCGGGAAAAACCGGCCACTCCATCTCTTTACTTTAAAGAATCTGCTTGAATTTTACCAGGTCCTGCTCTTGTACATAATATCTCACTTTGTAGCCACCAGCAAAACCCTCAGCGCAGTAGCCCGAATAGTCAGCCTGAAGATCCCGAGAATGGAAGGGACGGATTCAGGTATTCAGCTTTATTATTTGCAGCAGTACTAAACCACCGTGATTTGAGTGACTAATTTCAGTTCTTCTAGGAGGGATGTCACTCGCTCGAGCTCGGAATTCCAACGCGTGTCTGGTGATTTCCGCAGGCAAGGAAGTGGTGAATTTGGCCGTTCCACTGATAGCTTCTCTCGCGTTGCTAATGGCGAAACAGCCAGAAGTGAGGCATATTTCCGAGGTAGCGCTCCAGAAAATGACGCGTTCAATCGAAGCAGCAGTGAGGCACGGATGACAGAACGAACCCCTCTATACGGAGGGCCTCCACCATGGTGGGGTCGTCATCCCGGTGATCATGACGATTCCCTCACCGATGTTGAAAGGTATTGTTCATGCCCGTTATACATGAGGGTGATCCTCATTGCTTTTTCTGTTGCAGTCCTCGTGCTCATCCGCGGTCGTCACCTCCTTCTTCCGCAATGTCAGAAGCAGAACTATCACGCGTTCGACAGATACCTGCAAAGGCTGTTAGAATGGACATAGATTTAAGTAAAGTAGGCGACGATGAAGCGCCTAGACCAAAACGTTAGTGTTATGGTGCTATTGGCTGTTCTGTGTATGCTTCAAGTTCCTTGTGTGGCGTTTTTTTCTCCGTTGTAATTCCCGCTTTTGTGTGGTGAGTACGTCCATGTTCAGCGACCACATCCCGATCTGTTCGTATGGATATCGATCTCAGCAAATTACCAGATGAAACAAAAGTGGTTGAGAAGAAAGGTAGGACTTGTCTTTGTACTGCATCGACCAGGAAAAGCAGAATCTTCACAATGGTCCTGATGACGTTGGCATATAATCCTATCCATTTGTGTTCAATTCCTATTTGTTTACACAGCCTGCTATGATTGATCCACATGGCCCATGTGTTGTTCGTTCGTTATAGTCAGTCCATTCAAGGGGACCGAGCTAGCTATCCATTGTGGAGTGAGTGTTGTCAGGGAGGGAAAGGGTATTGGTGAAACATAACTATGACAAGCAGATATTATGACCATTTTATCACTGTACTTTATGTCCAGAAAAAGGGCACTATTCAACCATTATTCCACCAAAATCACATTGTTTTGAAAAAAAAAACTGAACTAAACTTTCAAGCTGATCTTTTGCTGAAACTCTGTTGAATGAACCTTCATATAGTGTTACACACGACTCCGCCCCCCGACGACTCCCCTCACTTATTAGAGGATTTACTAAAAATTTTGCCACACTATAATTTGTTTTTTTTCACACTTACAATGTACACATAGACAGTAATTTTCGCAGGGGTACAGGAGGGTGTTACAGGGATCATTGGGTTCTGATCACAATGTGCCATTCGCTTTTCACGCTGGCGCCATCGCTTCTTAATTGAAATTGGTCGGCACTAATTTGGCGCTGTCACTTTTTCACTACAATTGATGGAAACTCGCGGTTATTTGGCGTCCTCACGGATATTACACTCGTTTTTAGCGCATGCGCTAAAGTAGCTGCTGAGTCTCAGCTTGGAGAAGTTATCATTTCTTCTCTCGTGCTCAACCTTAAGAGAGCGCTACGTGGCACTAGCGCGCCGGAAAATGAATGTCGTAATTGTGGTCAGGATCCCCTCCCCCAAATAATCTCAAATGCAAAGTGGAAACGAATTAGATGGGAAAAGGCGTGGCGCCAAGTCTGCGTCGGCGCCATTAGCTATTACCGGTGATAAAAATAAATTATGCACCTGTAACCTAGATGCCAAACAATCCTAGTATGCAAACCTACACCGAATTTAGTGAAGAAAGGGGGAGGGTGTGGTCAAAACTGACGGTGGCGCCAAAAATAGAAGGCATCTGTAACCAAGGCACTGCATAATGTCTATGGACAAGGTCTCAGCAGAAAATGTTCAAGATTTTGAGATAGTAATAATTAAACAGTGCTGAAAAAACTAATTCAATTAGCATGAAATGTCGAAGTTCATGTTTTGTGGCCTCTTTGGAGAAACGGCTTTAGAAGCACATCTTTTCGTTCCACTTCAGCAACGATTGTCTCATTCTGCAAAAAGTAGCATTTATGACGTTCCGCGGGCTCATAATTGCTCGGAAGATGATTAATTCCTTTGAAGCGCGACAAGCTCGGAACCAGGTAGCGTATGTGTGGTTCAGCAAGTTTTTGGCGCTGTTCTAGTAAACTTGGCATTTTTGTACAACGTTACAAATGGTTAGATAATCTTGCTCCTGTTTTCTCTTCTGTGTGAATGTCATGTCATATTATTTGTCAGAAGTAAGGCTGACAAAATTACAAAATTCCTTTTATTTTTTTTATTTCTCTTACCAATCTGTGGAAATGCAGTTTAAATAATTTCCATAGGACTGCATTTTGATCGGAACAGCTGCAACTCAATTGGTTTTTTTACAGCACCATCACGCGCTGCGGCAACAGCGTTTACCGTCAACTTTGATTCCGCGGACGAAGAGGTTTCGCTCCAAGATGCAGCAAGGAAGTCGGCACAGGTATAGGATTCTTGACATAAGGGTAGAACCCTCAATACCTGGTTCGGAGGCAGATTATGATTATACTGAGAGGCGAAGGAGTGTCATAAATCAGGGCGTTTTTAACCTTTTCAAAGGGGGAGGGGGGGCGGGGGCACAGAACTCTGACAGCCCTGCTAACAAAGCTCATTTATACATCAACTATCCCATAGCACGTCCAATAGAATAAGTTCCGTTCTTGGGTACAGGTTTACTTTTCGATTTTCCAACCACTCAATCAGTTATAGGCTCGCCGAATTCTTGGTCGTCGTTCTGGTGGAGGTGGTTCTGCCACTTCGTCAGGTAGTCAGGATAGCGGTCAACGCGCTGCTACCGATCTCCCGCAGGGAAATCCCAGCAACAAGCGTTATCTGCTAAACAAGCTATTACAAGGCGAAGGTACGCTTTTTTTAACTAAGTTCTATGATCCTCCATTGATGTCTTATTTTGATTTTTTTATTCATTTTGCAAGACGGTGCGTTCATGGTAATCTGCGCGTAGTTTTCTAGTTAGTATGCTTTCCTTACTACGGTTGGGTAGTTGAGATATCGCTCAAATCTAGTGGCGACTGTAGCTTTGGAGGACTAACTTGAGCGGGATTTCGTTTGCGATAAAAGAAGGCAATGCTTAACGGTTCAAGGAGTTGCATCCTTTCGGTCTGTAAGTTACAAGATTGAAAAAGCGAAAAACCAAAGCAAACCTTGACTGAACTCTAGTCCAATCTGCATTTCAATAGTTTCACTATATTAACGCTGAAAGATCCTCAAAAACATGGAATTACTTTGAAGGGGTGATTGTATCTGACAAATTACAAGTATTGAAAACATGTTTACCATCGATGAAGTACATACTATTCTTCTAGGAAAGTAATTAATTATAGTTCACCGAACGAATCATCTTTGTTTTGCATCATCCTCTTTTTTTGATGTTCAGGGCAAAATTCTGAAGAGAACGCTGAGGGAGCAGATGTTGAAGAACGCAAGGAGTGCGACGTGTCTAGCGAAGCTGGCACTTACGTAGTCGGTGCGTCAGTACCTTTTAGTTATAATGGATATTAATTCTGAAAAAAAAACTTTAGACATGAGTTCAAGAGTTGGGGGTGGTCCAGCGAGCCAGTTGATGACGGCAAAAATAATCGAAGACTCAGATGCATCTTCGGATAGTAGCAGTGATAGCGACAGCGAGTCGGTTATCCCTCTTTCAGCTTTCTCGAGTCCTTTTTTAGCACTCAATATGTAGTACGATTATAGATCAGATGGTTCGCCTATCCCACGTCAGAAGCCGGCAGTCTTGCCTCAAAAGTCACCCGTTTCAAAAACTGCACCAGCCCAACCAGAAGCGCCCACTGTTGAACGCACTGATGTAACAAAAGAGATGTCAAAACTGCGTTCATTGGCAGGACTTCGTCCAACTTCATCTCCAGCCGAATCACGTGGTAAGTCTGCTCCCTCATTACTTTTTTAACTTGCTCGAAGGCAGTGGGCACGATTGCTGGAGGCGGGCGGAAGGGCTCAAGGAGGGCGTTCGGCTTGCCCACTTTGTTTGTGGGGAATGGCAACTCTGTCCGCTAATGATGCTGCCTAAAGCAGTCGTGCCCATTGCGTTTCACTGTCACCTTGTTTTAACAATGGTGGGTTTTGTCATGAGTAGAACTCATTTTTTTTCTCATGCAATAGCCTATCCCGAACGCGGTGGGTTTTTAGCCGCCGCAAACACTGCTCGACCATCTGGAATGTACGACAACTCACGACCTGGTCCAGCAACTCCTCCACAACTCCCACGTCCATGTACTGGAAGATCATCGCTGGGTGCTCAGCAGTCCAACAGATCTGCTCTAGCTGCATCTCGAGTTGGGACGGCTTCTTCTTCATCTTCAAACGCGCCCTTCAGGTATACAAGTATTTTGTTTTAGTTTATGAGATTATTGAGTGTTTCCGTGCACTACCTATCCGTTGGGACAGTCCATTTGTCGACGTGAAACGGAGATGGGTTTGTAGTGGGCGGCTTGAGATGGATACTCAAATTAACGCTACAATTGACACATTAACGCTTGGCACACCGAGAGACTGCCGTTGGGCAAAGTCAAGGTAGGGGAGGATAGCGTCATTGGTGCGCCTCTCTTCCCACTTCCTTCATCACCATAGGACCTGGCAAGAAGAGAGGCGCGTTCACCGCGTTCTAGTCCTGCCCATCGGGCAATCTCCAACGGATGTGGATGTGATGACGTCTTCTAAAACTTGGATAGATTCCAATAGTTTGATAAGCTGTGAAATGGAAATCACAGCGCCTTTATCTTTTGTGCCGCGTCATTTCAATGCGAACGTGGGAAATCCGCCGCTACGTGAATCCGCGATTCATGACAATCGACGACAAATGTTAGGCTGCGTTCATACTTCGCTTCAGCTTTTTGAGCGTACGGCAGCGTGTTGGGCGTGTTGAGCTACTAGGAAACTATGGATATCGATTCGCCGTTTAAAGCGTGCGCCACCGTATTCAGCGAGCGCCTGCGAAAATCCGAGGCTACCCGCGAAAGCGCTCAGAACGCGGGGGTACATTCGAAGCGCTGGATCGATACCTATACTTTCCTAGTTCCTGGCGTGCGCTCAAGTCGCTGAGGCACACTATGAATGCAGCCTTGGACATGAATCTGTCAATTGTGACCACTGGCGTTATCGGCGAATCTGCTAGGAATGAGGCAACGACCGGCTCGCTAGCGGAGAGTCAATCTAATCCTGATGTCGTTGAAGATTTTCCACGATCACGGACTCTCTGAATCACCGATTCTCGAAGTCAGAAATTATGAACCGTGAATGAATCGGTATCACGTCAGCTGCTGTTATTGGCCATTTCACGTCGGTAAACGGAAACACGGGCTCCTTTTCAGTTATCACTAACATTTGATAGGAAGGAAAGATAGTTAGACTACGTTCATACTTTGCTTGAGCGTTTTGAGCGTCTGTCAACGTTTCCAGCAATGATCGATACCTGTTTTCCTAGTGTCAGGCTCAGGGTACAGCATCGTGATGTGTAAGGTGTTGGTGTCAGTACGACCCCCCTCCCTCGAGGGAGGCTCTTCAGTACGACCCACCCCCCACCAAAAGGAGGGCCTTGGTACGACCCACCCCCTCTTCCTCAGCACCTACCTACCAGTTTTGCCCTACATTTTCCAGTTTTCCATCCAGGAATTTTCTCCGTCGAGGGGGAAGGGGGTATATAGCACATGTGAAACGGGAAAATTTCTTAGATTTCCCAAACTTCCTACCATTTCTTCCGGAATTTCTGGAAAATTTCCCGAAAATTTCCCTACTCCCCAAGATGTTTGCTGTCGAGTGGGGGCGGGGGGAGGGGGTATATAGTACACATGAAACAGGAAAAATCACGCGAAAAGTCAACAACCGGAAAAATTTTTTCCCAACGCGGCAAATTCCTCTCAAAGCCACATACGACCCCCCCTCTCCCAACAACGACCAAATACGACCCCCTCCCCAGCGGAAAAGTACGACCCCCCTCCCCTATGTGTTTCATACAACGATGCTGTACCCTTGCCAGGCTAACGGTCAAAACGCTGGACCTATACCTACACTCTTAGTCGCCCGACGCTCTAACATCAGGAAAGCCCAAAACGCTGACAGTCGCCCAAAACGCTGCCGCGAAGTACGAACGCACCTTTAGGGTGAAATCAAAACATCATTTGATGATGTGACATTTTCACAGGAAATGGAGGTGTCAAAGCGAAACGTACGTGGGATAAGTTTATGTTTTCTTTAGTATTTTGCACGCTGTGTCGGTCATGTACGAACGGCGATAGCAACTCCGCAAGCTTGCTATTGAAGTTCGACGATCATCCAATTTTTCCTTCAAGTTATCTGTGCTGCTTGTCCATTTCTTGCCGTTTCAGTTATAGCTGCAAATCTTCAGATGCCAGACAGCTATCTTTTCTGCTTGCTTTTGATATTGCGTTTCGGGAAAAACGATCTTTTTTTCCTAGCTTGCATCAAGAATGTTGAGCGTGAACGACGAGGCATGGCAAAGAAGTACATGATATTTTGTGTGATGAGGCATGATGGAATGTTTGATTTTTAGGTTCAATTTATCATTCCCCGTCTTCGACGCTAAGCCTTTATTAGAGAATTTGTCTTGCGTGTTACCTTAGATATTGTGCTACATGTTGTGAATGTGAATGGATATGCCCAACTGTGTGCCATTATTTTAGAAGAGGTGACGGTGGCCGATACTCCATGCGAGGTCATGCTCCAGGAGTAGCACCATCAAGTCCTCAACCAAATGTTAAGAGACCTCCGTTCAGAGCTGGTGCAGCTCCATTAAGAACTGTAAGTTGGTTTAACGTCCTCCTCTTTTTGAGTTACCCAAATAACCTGCTCTTAAGGGCACAAACATTGCCCAGCAGAAAGAACAGGAGATGAATGCTTGGCTTCGTCGGAAGGATTATAATCCAATGAAGGCTGCCGCAGAGGCTAGAAAAGCGAAAGAACTGAAAGCCAGGTATGTTTCCCTTTTGCTTGCGATGGTAGCCAATAGAGAATGAATGGCGAGGTAACGAAGAATCTGCGTTTATAATAAACGACAATGTTTTGTTATATCTTTAGCGATTCTAATCTTTCCGTATTATCAAATAGCAGCGACACCGAACGGTAGGTCAATTGTAGTGGTCGTGTTGTGTAAAGTGGACGGTCCTTATTGAGCAAGTATCTTTCGTACAATCCTCGGCACTATTCAACTATTACTACCCCAGATTTCCGGAAACGGGCCGGATTTTGATCGACTTTTTTCTACGGGGGTGGATTTGGCTGAAAGTTGGGTTCTAGGGGTAATTCGACCTCCTGAACACGAATATCACATCCGCTCCTCTCGAAACCGCCTGGCGCCCGCGCCACAGGCGCCGGCGCCAAAGTACCCTAGATCACGAAATCCGCTGAAAACTTGTACCTAGGGGTAGTTTGACCTCCTAATCACGAATATCACATTCCCTCGGCTTGAAACCGCTCCGCGTCCGCGCTACGGGCGCCGGCGCCAAAATGCCCCAAATCACTGGCGCCTACAGGCGCGCTCACACTTGTAGTGAGGTCGTAGTTGTGTAAATGGGACGGTCTTTATTCGAGCAAGGTATCTTTGTACAAATCCTGCGGGCACTATTCAACTATTACTACCCCAGATTTCCGGAAACGGGCCGGATTTTGATCGACTTTTTTCTACGGGGGTGGATTTGGCTGAAAGTTGGGTTCTAGGGGTAATTCGACCTCCTGAACACGAATATCACATCCGCTCCTCTCGAAACCGCCTGGCGCCCGCGCCACAGGCGCCAGTGATTTAAGGCATTTTGGCGCCGGCGCCCGTAGCGCGGACGCGGAGCGGTTTCAAGCCGATGGAATGTGATATTCGTGTTTAGGAGGTCGAATAACCCTCAGTACCCAACTTTCAGCCAAATCCACCCCCGTAGAAAAAAGTCGATCAAAATCCGGCGCGTTTCCGGAAATCTGGGGTAGTAA